TGGGTACCTTCTATGCATGACCCAGACCCCACCATCTCATGATTGTATGGTGTGGAGTGATGCCATGTAGGTCAGTCTATGTGAGTCAGTCTATGTGAGTCAGTTCGTTATCAGACTTCCACTGCATAAATACTCATCCTATATTGGTTGATTCTTGGTTCTGCCCATACTCATTGGAGTATGTAACAGTTTGACTTCATCCGCTTCAGGCTGTGTTTGACTTCCTAGTGCGTGTGTGTGTGCGACTTGATCCTGTGCAGCAGCTTGATACTGTGTGGCTTGTGTCTGTGTGACTTCGTCCTGTGTTTGACTTCATCCTGTGTGTGACTTCATCCTCTTCAGTCTCCACGACTTCATCCCGTGTTTGACTTCATCCTCCTTGTGTGTGACTTGATCCTGCGTGTGTGTGACTTCATCCTGTCCAGCTTGGTACAGTGCAACTTTATGCCGTGTAACGACTTCACTCCATTCGACTTCATCCTGTGTGTGACTTGACCCTGTGCGTGACTTGATTCTGTTTTACCTCGCCCCTGTGTGCTGGCAGGTCAGCGCTGACCTGTCTTGTTGACACTGTATGTTTTCAGGTCACCGCTGGCCTGTCTTGTTGACCCTGTGCGCTTGGCAGGTCACCGCTGACCTGTGTGTGACTTGATTCAGTGTGCCCTCGTCCTGTCCGTTGGCAGGTCAGCGGCATGTGGACCTGTGGCAGGCAGGTCCACATGCAGCTTATTATACACACATCTGACTTTTTTGGCTCCTCTGACAAATCTGGACAATGCAGGACTTGAGGAATGGAAGTGTGGCAATCTTGCAGGCTTCGGCAAGCTCGTATCCGAGTCTGGGGCAAGCTCCATCAACAACTATGAATGCGGTGAGGGTTGGGGAAGGGTTGGGGGAAGGGGGGGGGGGAGAGGAGAGGTGGGGTAGGGGAGGAGGAAAGGACCCATTGTTGACTTCCCTCTGACCATCCTCTGGGTTCATTTATGTGCCCCTTCTGTTCCAGGGCACTGGTCCTTGGTTTCTGGAATGGATGTTGAAATCCTGCATCTGGTTCCTGGTTCGTTTCTCGTTCCCGGTCCAGCTTCTGTTCCAGCGTTGCATTATTCTTGATTCTTGCTCCAGCTCCTTTGTTCCAGCCGCCACTGGTCCTGCAGCTGGCATTGCTTCCCCAACCCAAACCAACCCTGTACTTGCTGTGTCTTCTTGAACTTCCATCGTCTTTGCTATAATATCCTTTTTTTGTACTTTTTTTTTCCCTGTATGTATTCCTGCGCCTGCACTAGCGTTTGCGACCCGTCTTTTCCGGCAGCTGGTATTGCTTTCCCACCCCAACGCTCTGTTTCCTCTCTCTGTCTCTGCTCCACCATGTGTTTGTTATGGCTCCTGCTCTGGCTCTTGTCCGTGCATCCATCACTGCTTCTGTTCCTGCTCCTTCTTCTTCTTCTTCTTTTCTTTTCTTTTCTTTTCTTCTTCTTCTTCTTCTTCTTCTTTTTTTTTTTTTTTTTTTTTTTTTTTTTTTTTT